CACGAGTGCTCCAAGCGCTCCAGCTTCCTGTGGGATACATGACGCGTACCATGGTTCCATCGGTTATAGCGATTTCTCTGCATTTACTGCTGTGCGTAACAACCCTACAAGTTAACCAAGGGGCTGCCTTCCTCCAAAATCCCTTCTGGGGCACATAGCAAAGCCTTCATGCCCTATGGAATAGACCCAAGAATAAACCGACCTGCTACGCCATAGTTTCCTGAAGACTGAGGCGGTGCTGGTGCCAGATCCACAGCCGGAAGACGGGAAGCCGGCGAACTCGCAGCAAAACGGGGAGGTGCCAGTGGACGGAGAACGTTGGACAGTACACGGACGTTCATCGCTCTGCTGTACAAGCTAGAGAAGATCCAGAGGAAGAAGGGCTGTACGAACACGAAGATGTAGAGAACAACGTCTTCGAGAGCGAACAGGGGTCCGCGAACCACGGCGTTGGCAATTGTGGTCGGAAGTGCCATCATCGCGTCGCTGTGGAAGCTAGAGAAGGTCCAGACGGAGAAGAAGTGCACCGCCACTGAAGATGTTGAAAACAACACCTCCCAGAGCGAACACAGTGCTGCTTATCTCGGGGTCGACACCACCTGTGGTAAGAAAGAGAACGTATGCACGCCAACGTTGAAAATACACGTTGTCGATAACAACTGCAAGGCTAACACGTAGAATAGCGCCTCAACCGGAAAGTCCTGTGGAATCCTCTGCTTTCCATCATCGCGGATGAGACCGTTGGGAGTATTTGTACAAAAACACTGCATGGGTTTGCTGCCGTATTACTGTGGAGACGAACGCTATTGTCAAGTCTCTACGCGTGAGGAAGGCAACGTGGGCGTCTGTGCGAGGAAATCAGGTTAGTCTGTGTTTACTGTACTGCTATTGGAGGCCACAGAGACGTACATACTCCTGTACTTCGTTTCGTGTGTGTTGCAGTCAGAGCACGAGCCGGCGTATTTTCCGGATACAGCAGTCCAAGAATGCGAGGAGTATGCCGTACTGCCCGACATACCCATGTGTTGCTTGCTTTGTTTCTGTATGCACCATGAACGAGGCATGGCAGAGCGCTGTGTGTTAAAGCTGAGCAAATGACGGAGCGAACCATGAGTTTCAATAGCTTTTTTTCAGGCGCGCGGATAGGGGTGGCATGCTTGGTTTAGCAAGAAAAAGGCTGTTTTGAGGATCACAGGTACATGTAAGCGCGCAAACAAAAAAAGACAATTTCATCAGGGGGGCGTTAAACGTGGACCATGCATGCCCATGAAAACAACCCATGTTCGCTGGAGCCCATGTCACCTTCTAGGCGCCAATTACACGCCGAGGCTTGGGCCCAACAAGTTGCATTTTTTCCGAGCTGTCCCAATTGTTATTTTCTCGATCCGTGCTCGGTGGCTCGAGAAAAACACAACAACTGATGTCGGAAAGAACGCATGTGACCGTGCGTCCCATTGATGGAGGAGGAGGCGTATTTAGTTTCTTTTTTGGAACCAGAGGTAGGTTCTCACGCAAGACAACACACAGAGCCAGACATGGACAAGGGTGGAGGGAGACACACACCACAGCGAGAGCGAGACGGGAGCAGGGTTTGCCTTATAGTTATCGGCGGAGGAAACGAGAAGAGAGAAACGTTTGGTTGGGTCTCGGTTCACCGCATGTTGTTTTTTGTTGTGCAGCGGTGTTTTTTATTCGAGCGAAGCGATATTTCTATTCTGGCCTGTGAGGTTTCAGCGCAATATCGCCCTCCATCCAAAAAAAAACGTTTGTACGTCTGTCCGCTTAATCTAGTTTTTTGACTACATGTATCACTTGGTTGAGAAGGTGGTTCAGCAGACCGCACGCGGTGTTTTTTTTCGGAGCACACACGCAAAGCAGACAACACAAGCACAGCGGGCACAGCGGCACATGCACAGCGGGCACGGCGGATAGAACAGCGGTAAAAGCCGCGTTCAGGTCGTTGTTTGTCCAAACCGAGACATTGCATGGTGCCGTCGTCTTCGACTGCTGCTGCTGTTGACGGGCGGGGATTTGTTGTACCACACATGACAAACACGGAAACAGTAGAATGAGGACAGCAGCAGCCCCAAGGCCTCCAACGCGCTGATTCCTTCGGTTCGGCTATCTATATGATCCTCACTCCCGGCCCTGTGCTGCTTCATGGGTATTGGGGGTTTGGGTGCTGCTCTAGAAGGTGTGTGAGAGATATGTACCACCTCGCCAAACTGCCGCTTGAAAAGATGCGGTGAGATGGCCTGTTTTGGGTCAGAGACAGCCAGACAAACCCAGGGCACCACGCAGCTGTAGAGCAGTAGGACCTCCGACACGCGATTTTTTTCGGATTGGTCATGTATATGGCACTGACCCTCAGCGCCGCTGCCTCGCTATGATTGTTGAGTTCGTCTACCTTTTGACAGGGAGCGGTAAAAAATGGGGGTCACACTTGCTTGGGTCACCACGGGAAAAATGAGCGAAATGACTTGAAGAAATCGCAGGCGACACCCAGTTTGTGACACTGTTCCCTGCCCCCAGTGCTGAAAACAGCAGGCCGGGTGGACAGGGTCTTCACAAAGTGTGCTGTCCTCTGATTCGATGTTCATTTTGTGCTTGTACCACCGTTCTATGGTGAGCAAAGCTAATTTGACCTGTTGTGTGTCAAGCAAGGCATGCATTCAGCGATAGGAAACGTTTTTTTGCGCCGATTTAGTTTTTAACCTTCGGGGATTTTTTTCACCGATTCGTTTATATTTGGGGAGTCAATACGTCGGAATACGCCTCAATAACACGAACTTCTGCCCGTGGACACACATGTCTGACGACAGTTACATCTATCAGCTGTCGCTCGTTGTAGCACAGCTATCCTATCTTCTCGGCAGCAACCTTGGAGAGAGGTATCACAACAACACGCTCATTTCTAGACACCACCATTGATGATGCATGTACTGCTGTACACCTTCCTACACCTGTGTGCGAGAGGTTGTCGCCTCTACTGCTGCTGCTGTTGGCTACAATTGTAGCGGTGGAGGAAGCAAGAAGAGAGAAGAAACATTTCTTTAGTTGGTCTCGGTCTCGATTCAAGCGCTTGTTGATGTTTCCGTTTTCCCGCCAAGTCGGGTGTTTTTTTCATCGGCATCGACCTTGGAGCCTTGGAGAGTTGGAGAGAGGCATCACCAACACGCTCCTAGACACAATCATTGACGACGTACTGCTGCTGTACACCTCTCTATACTTGGGTGTCAGGGTATATCTTGTGTGCGACCTGTGCCTTCCCTGCTATTTGAGTCTGGTCACCCATCATGAGGCGAGCATGCGAGTTTTTTTGCTTTTTTGGAGGTGAAACCCCCCCCTCTTTGTGAATCACCGTCATCCCCCAGAGTTCCAAAACAGACGAGCGCGCCAGCCTACTGCGGGTGCGTCAACCAAAAAGTCTATAACTCGCCCGTCTTGGGAGTAATTCTGTGAGGGCGATGTTCGTGAGCAGCAACGAAAGGGCAAGGGGCAAGGGGCCACTCAAACATACGTTGTTTCTCCGGTTGTGCTTCGCCAGACTTGAAAAAAACTGTATATATATCTGGTCAACAAACAAATACGCACACTATTTAACATTCGCACCGCCAGAGTGGCAGGTGCGACAGGACGCACGTTCCCGAACCGTAATAAACTGCCGAAATGGCAGGTGCGGAACTACACGAGGTGGGGCGACACCGAGAGCGAGAGCTGACGTGCACGCATCGTCAGGTTGGGCAACCGCTAGGCGACCGCCGCTCTAAACCCCTAGCACCAGACTCAAGAGCCAGACCCGTTGTCCGTTCAGCAACATCAGAGAGGCTGCATCGTCACAGCAGCAAGTTTGCGTTCGTGCACATCACTCTGAGCAGCGTCTCCGCGGGTCTGTCTGTGTATCTTCTCGGGAAAGATGGGCACGCCTGCGCTCAGCACGAGGCTGAGACAGACGCCCCTCTTGCTCGCGAGGATCAGCAGGACGTGTTCGAACGTCGCTGGGTACGTGCGTAACCTGGATGGAGTAGGTGAGCAGAGCGCGCTCACACCACACATACAACCAGTTTACAATAAATAGAAAGCCGACAAGCCAAAAGTTATGAGGCTCACACGCGTATCGACACAGCAGACCCCTGATGAAGCCCACTTGTTTGATAAATCCTTTGAACAGCAGTGTTGATTAATCCTTTGAACAGCAGCAGCAGAGCTTGGCTGTTTTCTCGCTCTCTTTGGTGAACGGAAATAAAGAGGGGGTGGCTTGCTGTTTGCCGTTCAAAACGTATGTTCTCCCGCTCTCTGACAACAAACACGGAGAAACAACAGCAGCTGGGGTGGCGGGAGCGCGGCAACACAGCAGTCACGACGTAACAGCATGAAGGCCCAATCTTGCACGGTAACCCTGGAGTATGCGTTTCTCTCTTCTTGCCCGACTACTGAATGGAGAGGAACCCGAGGTGCTACGGCTGTGGCTACAGATCGGATTAGGAAGCTGCCGTGGACCAAACCATCCCCGCCCCCACGCACCTGTGATGATGGGATGATAGCCCGGGGCTGCTTGGATTGTTGGTGTAAGGTTGACAAGAAGCGGAAGAAGCCGACATGCGCTAAAATTCGGCGGCGGTGAGACAAGAAAACGTGGAGTTACGCACCAGGTACAATCGCACATGACGGAGAGCGGGGAACAGAGAGTCGCAAGGCAAGCGTCAACCTTCCTGAGAGAACGTTCTTGGCTTTCTTGGCCATTGCTTGCTCCCGACGGGACTGTCCATGCTTGAGGCGGCAAAAAATGCAGGGAGGCGTGCATGGTGTGACAAACGAGGCAGGGAGATGATTATCATGGATGTCCACGGAGCGACAGCTGCACTGCTGCCGTCTGGTCCGGTCGCTCTGTTTTGCCTACATATCTGTTATCCGTCCATCTGCTTCCTCTCCCTACCCTGGTCCCATCTGAGAGATCGGTGAATTGTTCGGGGTGCCTTGGGTCCTGACTCTTAGTTTGAATGGTCGATGGCGGACGACATTCGACAGCACCAGCGGCAACGACGCTGGTCGGAGGATGCGCTATCGCTTGTGTACTTGTCTGCTGTGCTGTGTCGGCCGGTGCCGGTCGAAGGAGACGCCTGGTAGAACTAGAGAAGGAGATTCAGCGCCAGGTGGAGCTGAGGAATGCGGAGCACGCTGGGAGGATGAAGGCCGAGAAGGTGAGCGGTGATGCAGCAGAAGCATCAGGTTGTGTAGAAACATGCAGCAAATATGCACCTGATGTACGTGAGTGCAACCGTTTTAGGGAGTGCAGCCCAGCGCATGCGCCAACAGGGTAGGCAACGCGTATGATGGTCGTGGCTGCTATGAATGCCTTCCGCCAGACCCCACCTGACGAGTTGTGCTTCAGCCACCCTGCATGTAGACGTACGTCCTTGGCGTACTTTCTGACCCTGGGTACACCGTTGGGCATCCCGTTCTTGGCGTTATTGCTACGGGGCGTGTCCCATCGGCAAGCTGGAATATCTCACCTGGGGTGCAACATGGCGATGCATTCCGCCAAGAGCTGCTGTCGGTTTATTGCCACGTTTGGGCTTGCAGGCGAGGTGACCGCTTCACTGAGACATCGACTCTGTTTTTATCGCACTCGTTTTGACGTGTAACGGAGATTCGTCCACGCGGTATGAATAGCACCTTCTGAGAAATGTCGCGTCCTCTGGGGTGATCCTGGCGGCATGTGCCAGCTAGCACGAGTCTTGAAGGACCCCGGAATTACCCCCCTCCCTTTCGTGGCTATTGCAGGAGCTCAGGGCATTTTTTACCAGCCGAATGGTGGCGGACGGCGGGCTGATTTTCGCACCGATTGCAACGGTGCACTCTTGTTTCACGGAGTGTGTTGGTGAGCGAGTTCATGCCTCAGGTCAAACGACAGCTTGCCGGAAGCATGTGCAGGTCAATAGTGTAATTGACAAGTAGAGGGGAGCTTTCTGACGGTGCATTGCGGGACGAACAGCAGCACTTCTCCTCGACTGTGGGGTCTTCGCGTTTACTATGTTTTCTTTTTTTGAGCATTGACCTAACCGAGACCCCACCGCCTGCATGAGGGGAACGCAACGTTCCCGGGTGGCTGTGAGGTGGTACATGAGCGGCTCTCTATGAAGCTCGCAAATTTCTGCATTTCGTAATTTTTGTGCAGCTTTTGGGGTAACAAGCAGTGTGGGTCGGAGAGAGTGTACCCCAAGAGCCAGGAAGGTAGGCAGGCAGCCACAGCCAAGCCTAGCTGCAACAGCGCCGCAAAAAATGTCGTCTTGGTCTTATAACTTATAGCAGCTGAACTATTCGTCTGTCATGGTTACTTTTTGTTTCCACGAGTAGTGATTCTTGGCGGGTGTCCGCTCCTGTACGTAACGAGTTGGTAGGTGTTTGCTGCTTCCTGCTCGTTCACCTCTGCTGGCTCTGCTTTTACCGTACACGCTAGATCAGCAGCACTCAAAACCATCAGCAGCGGCGTTCGTTTATATTTGGCGGATGGTATGATTGTCATCTTGTTCCGCCCGCGCGCACGAGTTTGGCTTATTCATTCCTTTGCAGCTGATATGAAAATGTTCGCATACGAGAGGGGAGGGCATCAAACCACCGTGACATTCAGATCCCTCGGGGAGTGATAAAGCTATGCTCGCTAAACTACTGCGATTCTGTCAGGCGTCTTGTTAACCTACAATACACCTCCTGTACCTCGTGACGTTGCTCCTATCCACAGGGACTCCTCGACAGGGCCAGTTCGCCCCGTCTACCCGTGCCTTGTGAGTGATACAGCGCTACCTCCCGTGTTGCATGCAAGATTTTAGCCGGTAGAGACTACGAAGCGCTGAAACCTGCTACTGTAGCTGTAACTGGACGTGACGAAGTCTCCCAAACCCTTGCCCGACGTTATTGATTGTTGCGTTATCGGGAGCCGATGACCTGTTGTTCAAGTTTTCGTGGGGTGTATAGCTTACGGGCGCATACATGTGTCGAGCAATATTCTTCTTCGCGGTCGACCTCAGCGAGCCACCTCAAGTTCACTCTCCCGAACAGCCTTCATCTAAATACCTGTTCGTCGAGTTTCGCGTCGCACGGTCCTGTCAGGGGGGCACCGCAGTTTACTTACTCCCCGGGGTCCAATGTTGATATTGGTGTCCCGTCGTTTCTCTAATCATGTTGCACCGCCCCGGTCGCCCACTGCTAACTGCGCTCCGTCGACAGACTGGTGTTCGACAAGGGGTCGGTGTCGCCCGTCTCGCTGGACGGGGTGGAGGAATTCAGCCACGTGTAAGTGGCCGTGCTGTCTTTTGCCGCCGTGCGGTTCTGCATACCTTTTCCCAGGCAGATGCTTGAATGCTGCATATCGACAATGCCCTTCCGCCGTTGCGGTAATCTACTTTTCGCTCCCTCTCTCCGGGGTTGAAATAGGGCAAGGTCGTCTGGGGCATTGAGATTGGCGGGGCCTCAGCAAACGACGGAAAGGACGAACATGGTGTCGCCAACCCAAACCCCCATCGAAACGTGGTTCGCGATCGAAGTGACAACTTCTGTGGCACGCCACAAAGTTTTCAAACTCACGCTTGTCCCTCGCGAAATATTTCAACCCGGAACGTAGGTGGGTCTTCTGGGCGTTTCATCTTAACACAAACCAGAAGGACGCGCGGGCGCACGCCGGCATGCGCCCGGACAGCCGCGGTCACACGTTTCCGGCGAAGGTCTCACCGCCGTTTTTGAAGCGGCGTGTTGGAGTGTTTTCGACGAGGACCCCGCACAGACCAAACCCCCTCGGCGTGAGCCTCTGCAAGGTATGCATGGGTGATGTGTGGATCGCGCACGAATCAAGGTGCGAAATCACCGAGTTGACTTTTTCCGTAGGTTTTGTCCATGCTGGGCCATGGGAAGGTGCGAAATCACCCATGGGAGGCGGGGTGATGGGCTGGAAGAGCCCGTGAGATGTCGACCTGGGACGTGAAACCCCTCTGGTAGAGGCGTTCGTTGAACGAGGGTGCTTGATCGACACCGAGGCCCTTCTACACCCTGGACACGTAGTGTAACTTTGTGTGCGGTGAGACGGGACGCGTAGCTTTTTCCGCCCTATCTTCCCTCATTATCAAGTGCAGGCAGCTCTTCAGGGAGCGAGAGAGACAGCACCAGATTTACGCGACAGCTGGAAGTATTTGGTGTCAAACAGTAAGCACCCCGTCAGACTCATTAGCGCACGGCGTTTGACATCTTCGCTCGCTTGGAAGTGTACCGCACGTGTGCCAGTCGCACGCGACATCGCTTGAAACCCCTAAAACCCGACATCATACCAAGCGACAGCCCCACACACACAAATAACCCGAAAAGGTGGAGGAGGTAAACGCTGCCGAAAGATCCATCAAACTCTCCGGGGTGGATCTTGTGGACGGGACGCCTGTCTTCGACATCAAGCCTTACGTGCCGGACTACGACCGTCCTCGCGCGAGAGACGGCCCTGTCTCGGTGGGGACAGGGGACGGGGACGATGGAGTACGCGTGGCGGTGAGTCCCCGGCGTGGTCGGCAGAGTCACATACGGCCTAGGACGGGAGCTTGCCGTGGCACCTTTTTAGGTCAGAACGTTCTCTGTCTCACCATTTTCCAGATTGGATAAGAACATGGTGTCAGGTCGTTCCGCTCTTCGCCGGAACTCCCTGGGGACGCGGAGCTCCCTGGGGATGCGTGGTCGTGCTCCAGCTGTCCCAAAGAAAGAGAAGAACGAGAAAGGGTCGCGCTTCCACTGGTGTCAGCACCGACGATCAGACATGCTGAACGAACCCGGTTCTTGATTGCGTCTCACGTTTCTCCCTTGTTGGCCAGCTATTATGCAGGGGACTCACTCATTGTTGTATACCGCCCCCAACCGTCTGTCGCTCTCCGTGCGCCGAAGGCTTGGGTGGAGGCATCGGTAAAGCACCGGCGAGCGGTGCAATGGGCGCCCGATGCGGAGGTCCAACTGGAGGAGGCGTGCAGTGACAGGCGAAGGAAAGGAGACGGGCCGCGAATGCGGTTTTTCAGTGGAGATCACGAGGGGGCCAAGATGTGAGCCCATAAATGGAAGAGGACGGGGTCGGTTTGGCACTTCGCGTCTTGACCATGGGTGGCATGACAGACATGCCATTCACAAAGTATTTTGCTGCTATGTAGATGCCGTGGGTGTGCTGTATCTCTCTCTCCGCGCGGCAGGTGATGTGGCAGAGAACCAGGGTTCATGAGCGTGCCTTCCTCCATCCAAATCCCCACGTCCGTATTGCTTTGGCGCTGTAGGTTGTCACGTAATCGTCGGGGTATATTTACCCCAATCGAACGCCTTGAAATGAAACGTAGGCTAAATTCGGTGGTGACACAAAAAACCAAACTAGGTAGGAACGCAATTTTCATGATCGTGTTACCAAGTTGAACCATCAATCCTTTGTTCTTTTAAAGACATCATTCCTCGTCTTTCCTGCGCGCGCCGACTCAAATCTCACGCAGGGCCATCACTGAGAGCCTGTCCGTAGACGTGCGAAGCATCCGAAAGACCCGGGAGGCTGTCGTGGCGCCGTCTTGTGTCCTCCTGTTCGACGGCCTCCGCGTGGAGTTCGCCACCACCGTTTCACTCTCCATCGCTACGGCAGCCTCGTCGACGCCGTCGTCATCACTATCTGGGGGCTCCGCGGCTGCTGCGACGTCTGAAGTGGAAGGTACCGAGGGGGTCCCGTGTGTCTCGCCGAGGGGCGACGATCGGGAGGCCACTGGCGGAGGAAGAAACTCGTCTCCCCCGCCGGTGTCGGTAGAGACAATCCGAGTGTTGTCGGTGGAGGTGGACGAAAGCCGCTGCTAAACAGTACCAGGGGGTGTGCTGCTGTGCCGGTTGAAGAGATAAGAGAGGGCCGTGTGCTTCAATCTCCTTTGTAGGCGCGTTTACGGACGGTAGTGTGCGAGGTGCAGATGGAGGACCGCGGCTGCACAGCTGTGCCGGTGGAAGAGAAAATGGAGGCCCTGGTGGTACAGCATCCTTTGTAGGCGCTTGTACGGACGATAACGTGCGAAAAAAGAGTAAGGAGCTGCCGAAACACGAGTGTTGAGAACTTAACGCTCCCAGCATGTGGACTCAAGAGTCTATGGGAAGACAGCCAAGGACTTGACCGACAACGTCCTTGTAGGCGCTTTTACGGACGGTAGCGTGCGAAAGAGAGGTAAGGCCTACCGCACCGCGAGCGTTGAGAGAGTAACGCTCCCAGTATATGTGGACTCGGAGTTTGCAGGAAGGTAACCAAGGACATGACTTATACCATCCGTGGAGGCGCTTTTGCGGGTGGTAACGGAATGAGCAAGGAGTTGCGTCGCGAGCGTTGAGAAAGTAACGCTCCCGGCATCTGTGGACTCAGAGTTCATGGGAAGGCGAAGGATGACGGCCAACGACTCGACCAATTTCGTACCGATAAGACGTACGCAAAGACGTAAAAACGGGGCGCTAATCGCCCCAAACAATGATCATTACTGGAACACGATTGCTTCATACGGTATTCGGAGAGGGTGGTTGGTTTTGTATGAACGTTAAACGTCCTGTAGGGTGCGTCCCTTCGGAAGTTTGTGCGCTTGAAGCACTGAAGGATCGCCCTCGTAATTTCGCAGTAATCAGCGGGGAACGACATTGTATCTATTGGTCACAACCGGGCTTCGGAGACGCATTTGTTACCATGTGCCGGGGGGACAGCCCCCGGTCTCGTCTGAAGCCCACTTCCTTTGAGAGTTGTTGTTGTCTTCACTAAACATCGTTCTTGTCTCTACTCAGTACCTTCTAGTATCCGTGCTGGTCCATCTGACTCGGGCGTCTCCCGCGGTAACAGGCCAACTACTAAACAAAGGGTGCACACACTTGTAGAAAGCACATGGAAAATATATTCCCGTATGGACTCATCAGAAAATCCTCAAACAATCGCGAAAGCAGATCGGAAATTAGAAGATCAGAGGGCGTCAGCACAAGCCAGGCGAAATCGCACCCAAACCATCCACCATAGTACCACCCGTACTACCGAGCGCCTTCCACCCTCCAACACGCGGCTGCTGCCCCTTGCCACTCCAGGCCACACCCGAGCAGCAGCACTGTCTTGGACAAATCCTGCGCCGGTAGGCTCGGTTGGTTCCTGCTTACTCCGAGTCGACTTCAAGTCTCTTTGATGATGTTCGCTTTGCCCTTGGTCTTGCATGAGCGGTGGCCGTAGTCTAGGTTCCCACGGCAAAAGCTCGACGCCAACGCCAACCGCAACACTCAACAACACGAGAGCGTAGCTTCCGTCGCACCACGCACGTCTAACAGGATAGGTACTGGAACATAACAGAAACATCCCGACCACGTGCACCAAAAACAAGAATACCCTCGTCTCGATGAAATGGTGAAGGTAAAACTTTTGCAGGCATCGGCTTCTCTTGAAAACGGGAATGGCACGTGCCGAACTTTTAAACTCGATTACGCGCGCGTGGATGGACTCTAGCGCGTTGCCGAGGCGTTCTCCAGCACGTCATCTTTTCTGCTGGTACCTGGCGAGGGGCAGCCGATTCGTGGGAAGGAGAAGAATAGCCGGTCAAGTGCGTGAGAAGGCCCAAAGGTCCCCAAGACTGCGCCTCTCTGCTGGAACATAACTACATACTCCTGCCAGGCACCCTCGCGAAACGGCCCAGTCAAGTAGTGCAGAGACAAATACACAACTCGACGAGAAAATGCAGAGTGAGACAACAACAATGCACGAAACACGGAAAGAAAACATACAAGTCGACTCACCTCGTAAGGATCCCTGAAAGCAACTTGTTTCTCTCGGGTCGGTGAATTTGCACAACCAGCGGTGTCCTAGTCTTCCTCCCTTGCCCGGACGCCTTGGTGAGCCCATTGCAAGTGCTGCTGCCACAAATAGCTGCGGTGGTGCTACAACCCGCCCATTCGAACGCAGGCCAAGCCCAAGACCGTGCACGGAAAGCTGGGGCCCGCTCTACCGTTCGTCGGATCTCCGCTTCTTTGACGGGGTCCCTGAACCGGGTGGGTGTCCTCGGGTGCAGCGGGCTGAGCGGAGGGTTTTGCAGGTCCATGGTACCGATGACGTCGATCGGTCGCTGCCCCGCTTGGTCGGTCGCGTTTTCGTTGGCTCCGGCGGCCAGGAGCGCGCTCACCGAGGCGGGGAGGATGTATCCGCAGCTGTAATGTAGCAGACTTCCCGCCAGGCCCCAGTCGCTATCCGCCCACCTCGCGGCGTTCTCCTCTCCCGTGATGTTGAGCATCATTCGGAGGATCTTCCCGCGGCTCTGGGTTATCGCGCAAGTCAGAGCCATCTCCGCGGCCAACTCCACGCCTCCAACGGCGCTCAGGTTCGCGAGAAGAATTTTGACGATGTCTTCGTGCCCCTTGATGATGGCGACGGCGAGCGGGCAGTGGTCCCGAATTGTTGTTCTCGGGTGTTTCGCTCCCAACGAAAGGAGACAAGATACCACGCTCAAGTGGCCCTCGTTGCAAGCCACGTAAAGCGCCGACATGCCGTCCCATGCGATGCGGCCGAGCGCCGCCGGGGATAGTGCCAAAATCCTGCGAATCTTTTCTGGATTTCCAACCTCCACGGCGTGAAGAAACGCCGTCCAGCCTTCGGCGTCTACCTGGTCGGGGTTCACACCAGCCTTGATCAAGACCTCCAAGGCGCACTCAAGCCAGGGGCCCGGTGGCTCTTCACGAGCAAGACACATAAGGGGGGTGATGCCAAGCTTGTTGCCAGCGCTTGGGTCAGCACCGGCCCGTAGGAGCAGGTCGACCAAGTCCATCTTCTTTGCGAAGCAGATGGCCGCGTGGAACGCATTCTCTCCTTGCATAGGCAAGAAGGTTGAGTTTACGACGCGCTCTCGCGTGCCCATCGATGGGTTGGTCACCCCCGCGTTGACGTGGGCTCCCCTCTCGATCAGGAGCTGCGCGATCTCGGTCTGCGCGTGGACTGCTGCCATCACGAGAGGCCGGCACCCCTCGCACCCGTTCACGTTCGCCCCATCGTTCAGCGCGACCTCGGCCATCGAATAGCTACCTTGCTGCACTCCGTATATGAGTAAGCAGTCCGCGTCATCGAGTTTCGGCTGCCGAGGCATTCTGCTGCTGCTCTCTTTGCTTGCCGGCGTGTCCGCTTTCCACGACGGGGTTGTGCTTTCCAAACTAGTTGTTGTGAATATTTCGCCCCTCGGCGGTTCACCGCTCCGACCGCAATGTTGGATACTGTTTCGACACCGTGGTCCTGCTCTGCCACGGCTCGACCGATCAGGTGCCACCTGGCCGGGAGACAGGTGAGGGGGAAGACGGGGCATCGAGCGCGCGCGCGGGGGGGGGGGGGGGGGGGGGGGGCCCCCCTTTTTTTTTCCCCCCCTAACCGTAAAACCCTTGCCCCCCCCCCCCCAAAAAAGACCCCGGGGGGGGGGGGGGGGGGGGCCCCAAACCTCCGGCCCCCCCCTCCTTAAAAACATATTCCCCCCCCCCCCAAAAAACGGGCGCCCGTTTCCCCCCCCAAAGCCCCCCCACCCCCAAAAACAAAAACCCCCGGGAAAAAACCCCCACACCCAAAAAGGGGCCCCCCCCCCCCCCAAAGGGGGTGCCCCCCTTTTTTTTTTTCTCCCCCCCCCAAAAAAAAACCCCCGAAAAATTTATTTTTTTTTTGGGGGCTTCCCCCCCCAAAAAAAATTAAAAACCCTTAAAAAAACCCCCCAGAACTTTTCCCCCTTTAAAAAAAATGGGGGGGAAACCCCCCCCCCCGGGGACAGGGGGTGTCCCCCCCCCCCCAAAAA